AGATCGATGAGGACTTAGCGGGGGAGAAACGTCTTTGAAGGACGAAATGTCTAGGGAGTTATTAACTCGGCAAAAGCGATGAGTACTAGAGGGCGAGCGTACGTTTAAATCCCAGAAGAACTGGGTCATGTTCAGCTGCTGTCCGGCTATGAGCAGATGCGATGAAACATGGCCAAGAGATGAATGGCACACGAGGTCCCAAGACGATGACCTTGAAACAGGGTATAAGTCACATTGTGACAGATCCGCCACGTTGGGTAATGTGCGATCGAAAACGTTAGGGTGTAAGTGAAACTAGTAATTATGCATCACTGAGGGGGAGGGACAGAGGTCGAGGCGACACTTTGAGGCTTCCATGTGCTCGCGCGGATGATTAACGGCTGGTAGGCGGTGAAAGCAGACACGAGACACCAGACCATTCCACGACGGACGATCGTGACCAGCGACACCATGAATATGCATGGTGAATTCGTTACCACTTTCGGCCACTTGTGACCGCCTTTCATTGTTCTATTGTATGGCTTAACGTCACTGGGGGCGTCAGCGAAAAGTGCAATGTGTGAAGCCGTCTATCTTTATTCAATGAGGGAACAGTAAACTTGTCAAAGACGGGATGTTTTTTTAGGGTGTGGGAACGGTTTTCGGTCTGGCTATAGCGGCCTTAGCGGTGGGGGGTTAGGCTTCCTGTCGCATACGAACTGGAAAAGTATGCCTGCGGCGCGAACTGTGTTTCATTGTTGCTGAGCGAGTCCTAGCAGCGGTTAAAGAGTATCAAACCTATTTGCTTGGAATAGGTGAAGCTGTGCCTCGCGAGGACTTCGAGTCACGCTAATCACTTCCTTCTTGAAACTTTTCGATTGTTGCACGTAGCAATGCGGATGAGGCCTAGGCCAAGGAAACATTAGCGAGAGCAACGAGCGCAGTATGGCTGTACGAAACAATGAACGCAATTATCAGTTCTCAAATGGAAATGCAAATTCGGCATAGGTCAATCCCTTCAGAATAGGCTACGCGTTCGACTCATGCTAGAATCGAAATGTTTCTCACTTATACAATAGCTTGAAGCAGCTATGCCTGCGACTGCGCGGGACGAACGCTAGGAAAAGAACAAGAAAAGGCAATGGTTTGAAGGTTAACCAAATAGAGCAATGCTTTCGAGGCATTCTAGGCAAAAGAGAACTAAGAAAGCTGCGTCTCTACAGTTCGCTAACTCCACGCCAATCGCACGTTATAGCAAATCAACCGACAATGGATCAACAGAGAATGAAAACAATATGATCTATTCATTGGGGTCGTAAAAACAATCTCAAAACATTTTACCACTATCCACGACTATAAGAACCTGTGCTCCGTACAAGGCAATTTTACCGATATGCCTTGTTCCCTTTGCCTTCTCGCATACGGATTAGCCAAATCTGGAGTCCGCTTAGAGGCAGATTTTAGGGTCCCCCAAGAGGCCCATCGCGCGGCGAAGGAAGAGACGCAGACGCGGCAAAGGACGAGTCGCAGCGCATACTGTAGCGGTTAGGCGTCAGGTTAAATAGAGTGTACCATACTACGTCTCATATCGCACAGCACGCGCTGCGACTCGAAGGAGAGAGTTTGTTTGTCGGTTTGCACCGCAAAAATTTCTCCTTCAAGCAAAATCAAGAAGTGCACAGAAACAGCACTCCAGCAAAGACGAGAAAAAGCGTTGAACGAACGAACGCGAAAGAGTAAGCGACAGCCCTAAGTCTTCAAGAACTAGGAGCAATGAAGCGGAACCAATGGAGTTATAGTGAGCTTGTGAGGTACAGTGTCTCAAGATAATAAAGATAGTTCCAAGTAAATGCAAAGGTTTCGCCCTATTCACCTTACATTTGTTTTCAGTGAATAGCAGGCTGCGAATGTGATGTTATATTTCATACAGAGTGGCCGCAAAGGATAGTCCGGATAGGTGAAAACATTCCAATGAAATTTTACCAGTTAGGTGAAATTTTAACAGTTAGTGATACAGAAGCAACTATGAATAGTATCACGCCACATAGTCGCCTTCAGCCGGTTGAAGGCGATTTATGGCACAATACTATGCATAGTTGTGTCAGTAACTTCTGGTCCCCGGTGAGCCTCAGGTAGCTGACATTAAATATCTGCCATTTTCGCGGAAGTGCTGCTTCAAACTTTCAGTGCTGCGATGTGTAGAGGAAAACAAGTCCTGCTGCGGACGGCTCCATATGGAATACTCCACTGGGTTCAGGTCGAGCAGTTAGATAGCTACCTACTCTTTTCCCATAATCCAAGGGAGTGACTCTCGTACCGCACGCCTTCCAGTTCAGCCCTTGCACGTTGCATACTGTTTGCAAAGCGCACTGATGGCATTTGCTTTATTCATTCATGATGCAAGTACAAGTTGGAGGAAGCACATTATTCGTTCATCACGTAAACATACTGAATCTCGCGCACATTCTTCTCCCAGCCCCCCCCGCTGTGAAGCTATGCTCATTCTGATCATTGCAGCGCTATTATCGGGAACCTATGGAATCACTACAAAGTACATCGTCAGAGCACTAGTGAATTCCTCTGATACATGACACGGATGTCCTTTGCTTCCGCGCGCCCATCACTTAACGAATGGCTGGAGAGAGCCGCTGTAATTAGTTTTCCTAGGGTAGGAAGGTATACTGGCGACATGAAGTCTATCACCAGTATGACCTGCGAACTGAATCTGTCCTTGTCTATCAAAGTTTCCATTCCTCCTGAGTAGGCGATCATTAAATCTAGCGCCAACTGCCGATTCAGCTATGTTCAATTAATCCCTTGATTCGAAATGCAGTGAACATGATGACTGCAGGAGCGGTGCGGTTTTGATGACCTCATCAGGCGTCGTTGGTGGAATAGTGTTGGCACCACTAAGCGCTCTTAGACCAATGATGGCTAACAACGTCATTAAAGTCGCTCCCTTTCAGTCATTGTGATCACGATCTTTAAAGGTGAACTCTGAGGATAAAATGAGGGAGTCACCTGTTCAAATATGATGTATTGAGTGCTAAGTGAGTCGAAAGTGAAAAAAGCAGGAAAAACCGTGTGAAAAGCTCAAAACAGGGATCCCTTCTTCCTAATCTGATCTAAGTTTGCTGCCGAGTAAGAATGCGCCATATGAAAGGTTCCCCTGTACTCTTTTCCCTTCCTCTCCTTTTTGTCCTTTCATTTTCTCTCCTATAAAATGACTAATGGACCTTAAAGGCAAAGTTCGGGCTCAGACCCACCTAAGAAGCCCTTACCATGGCTAGAAGTGCTGGGCACGCAAGTGCAAAGGTAGCGCCACCTTTCTACATCGAAACGCGTCACTAGGACCCTAGGCGCCAAGCGCGTCACTAGGACCCTACATCGAAACGCGTCACTAGGACCCTAGGCGCCATGGACTTCTAACAGACTCCACCAAACATAACATGGTCCGCCCACCGTTCGATATCTTGTCTGCGTCGCACGTTGATCTGCTATGCTCTCTCTTCTCGGACTTCTCTACCACTCTCCGCGCTCACATTATCTCTCATCTCCCTGCCTGTCTTTTGAACTTCTCCACAGCATGGAGCAAAATGCTCGTATTTCCTGTGTATTTCAGGATTTTCTTTCCTTTTTTCTCCACTGGCGGTCCACCTCCCACCCCTACTTGAGTGGAATCACCCATCAATTTAATCCTGATTCTTGCCTTTAAGATCTCAACAATCACAAGAAAGACTACAATTAAGCACCTTTGAGGTTGCTGGATTCACGTCGTAAACTAAACAGTGTTCGACGAGCATTACCATTACCTAACGATTTAGGGCCCGACTAGTTCCGCATTGCTGCAAGATCTGAATCTCCTGACCCGCGCACCCGCCAACATTGAACACTTTACCCCTTTATGGTTATATCTCAATGAAATCGCTCGTCCAACGTCTCCCTTTTTCATGTATCGCGGAGTGACGTAATTTCGATACTGCTGGACATTCTAACAGCAACGACTCCTGATGGATTGGATTTGTTCCATAACCGTCATTCGCTCACCGCACGAACCCGTTCGAAGGCTGCCCAATTCCTGTCAGAGGCATGTCTCGTATCAGTCGGAACCGTTGCTTTTACATACGACTAACGAATACGACACATTCATTGGTTGAGGTCGTTAGAATACTGCCAGACCACAAGGCCGAAACGCTACTATTGACTGTGACTCATTCAAGGCCGACCAATGCAGTGCTTACAGTTGAGAAGGAAAAAAATGGAACTAAATCTAGCCTCTACAAAAAATGCTAATTGAATATTCTGAACTCAATTCAAAAGATGTTTTTCAGATCCGCCTTTGCAGG